AACATTGAGGCAATTAATTTTTACTTAACATTAATAAAAAATATGATGAATTTTTGGTGTTTTGCGTTTATTGTTTAATGTTATTTCAACGCACGATTTATTAACTTATGAATAAAAATTATTGCAACAATCACTGATTCATGATATTATTCTTCAAAATATTGATGATAATAATAAAAGGACTTTATTTGTACTAAAAGAAAAAAAAGTACAAGTACTGCGCCAGATTTAGCCTAAGGCTATTCTTACACCTAACCCAAAAAATATGTGTATAAAATAATATAAATTATTTAAAACAAATTACCAAAAAGTAATATTATATACATGATTTTTAGAATAGAGCGAAACAAACATTTTATAAATAGTTTACATATATAATAGATAATTGCAAGATAAAGAGAGTAAAATTTTAAATATTATTTTGTAACCGTAAGAACTATCGTTTTAGAGCATTTTTTTAAAAATTTAAGTGAATGTAATTGCTTGAGATTGTTATTAAAATTATTGTACAAAAATACGAAAAGCTTCTTGTAAAAAATGTAGTGGAGTAGCGAGGCATATTCAAAACAAAATTGTTATGGATGTTAACATTATGCATTGCTCTTTTAAAAATTAATTTGTTGCAGAGATAAGCTGGTGTAGAGGTAAGTAATATTTTGAAAGGCATCGAAAGGAATAAATATTTGAAGAGATTATTTACATTTAGCCATCTTGTTTGAATAAAAGCATGAGAGATATGATCAAACTTTCTAAGACCATTGACGAATCTATAGCATGTGTTTTATATAACCGATGACGATTTATTGCAGTTAAACACGAGTAGTAAATAATGATACCGTAAGTAAATTTAGATATGACTAAGTTTGACAAAGTTTCGCTTTCAACGATTTATTTCGAAGAATGAATCTGTTAGAGTAAAGTAATCTTAATGCACCATATTATTTTTGTAGGACTGAATTGACATGTTCATCAAATCATAGGGGTTCATCAAAGTAAAGGCCTAGGTTTTTTTGCTTCGGTTACATATGGAATAGTTTCCCCAGATATTCTCAAAACTGCCTTGGATATTATTTGAAATTTAAATTTTTTTATGACAAAAATCATTCATTTAGACTTAGTTGAGTATTCATTTAGACTTAGTTGAGTTTATGTCAGAGTTTCTGACACGAACCCTAACCAACACGTTTGAAAAAAACTGTCCTTTAAAAATTAGGAAAGAAGATCGAGACGCTGTATGATGGAATCGAGACCTTTCCAAAAAAAGAGCAGAAGTTCCTAAACTCTTCAACCTGTCCAAAAGGTCGGGGAACTGAGAAGCCTATAAGGTGTACCGAGAGAATATGGCTATGCTATTAGGGAAGCCAAAGAAAATTCCTGGAAGAAATTCTGTGACGGCATTGAAAGCCTTCCAGAATGTGCCAGACTCAGGAAAACTCTACAGAGAGATAAGCAAGGATGCATGTGATCTCTGAAAAATCAACAAGGAGAACTCACAAAAACAGAGGAGGAGACCTTAGATTTACTACTAAAGTCACACTTTCCTGGATGTGAGATTATTCTTGACCAAGAGAACAGGAGTAATGAGGCACTAATTTCTGAATTCCTTTCAACCATACAAAACAGCTGGACCTGATGGTATAATCCCAGCACTTCTACAAAAGGGCCAGGAAGTACTGGAGGGGCCACTGTGTAAACTATTCCGAGCTAGCATAGCCCTCGGATATGTGCCACAAAGCTGGAGGTGTGCAAGAGGGGTCTTCATTCCCAAACCCGGGAAAGTGTCGTACGAGGAGACCAAATCTTTCAGACCAATCAGCCTAACATCATTTCTCCGATGTTCTACTGGATAAATCGATACATCGATACCAGTTTACCTACCAATCTGGAAAGTCTTGCGATGCAGTCATACATAGGCTAACTCAACAGGCTGAACAAGCATTGGAAAGCAAAGAAAGAGCACTAGGAGTCTTCCTCGATATAGAAGGAGCCTTTGACTCGGCTTCATACAATTCAATACTGGGATCTATGCAAAGCCGTGGAGTAGCCCACTGCATTACGAGGTGGGTAGAGTTCATGTTTAATCATAGAACCATTACCAGTAATCTCCTTAACACAACAAGAATGGTCTTAGTTAACAAGGGATGCCCACAGGGAGGAGTGTTATCTCCTCTTATGTGGACGATGGTGGTTGATGACCTCTTATGGGAGTTACAGAGAGAAAACTTATACACGCAAGCATTTACAGACGACATAAGCATCGTAGTAAACGGTAAATTTGGGAGTGTTGTATCCGAAAAAATGCAGCGAGCACTAAATATCGTCGAAAGATGGTGGCTAAAAGAAGGATTGTCCACAAATCCGACAAAAACCTCTGTTGTTGCATTCACAAGAAAAAGGAACCTTCAAGGCACGAAGGAGCTTTATATGTGGAGACAACATCTAAAAATGGCAAAAGAGGTTAAATATCTTGTCATCACTCTGCAGCCATATAGAAAAAACAACAGAAAAAGCTGTAAGAATACTATGGGCCTGTAGACGGATGGTAGGGAACGCATGGGGGCTTAAACCAAGTATGATGCACTGACTTTACACTATGGTTGTAGTACCTGTTATAACTTACTCATCAGTCATATGGTGTCACAAGACTAAAATCATAACAGCTAACAGAAAATTAGACAAGGTACAAAGACTAGCCTATCTAATAATAACAGGGGCATTTAGAACTACGCCCACAGCAGCAATGGAGCTACTGCTAGGTCTTCCTCCTCTACACCTTGTGGTAGAGAAGAAGGCTATGGCGGCGGCATACAGGTTGTTTACTAATGGATTTGGATGGGAACTTTCGAGAAACGGACACCACACAATGATATTAGAGAAATTAAAACAAAATCCGGTACTAAGAATGCCATCGGATAGAACGCCCATTATTCACGACTTCAGGAAACCTTTTAATATTCAAATACCAGAAAGGGCCAAAAGCCGGGAAAATAGGGAAAAACAAAACGAATCAATCTGGTATACAGACGGTTCCAAAATGAAAAACAGCACAGGAGCTAGGATCTACCATGTGAACTCAGGGAGGACAATTAGTTTGAACCTGCGGTCACTGACAACAGTCTTCCAGGCTGAAGTTACAGCAATAAATTCCTGCGCCAAAGTCATGCTAAATGACTCTCTTAGAGATAAGAGGATCGTTATCATGATAGACAGTCAGGCAGCCCTTAAAGCACTGAAAAGGATAGAAGTACAATTTAAATCAATATTTGATTGCCAACAGTCCCTCCAGGCTCTGGCAGAACATAACAAGGTCACCCTTGAATGGGTGCCAGGACATGGGGGAGTATTTTGAAACGAGAAAGCAGACCTCCTAGCAAAGAAGGGAGCAGAAAAACTCTTATTGGCCCAGAACCCACATGTGGTATCTCATACCAACATGTTAAATGGGTGTTAAAGGAACAAATAAAAAGAGAACACCATAGGCTCTGGATGGAACTTGCTGGACTTAGACAGTCCAAAAGATTCATAGAGGGGTCATCCACGAGCAGACATCTACTGCTAAACCTTAGCAGAAGCGAACTCAAGGCCGTAATAGGACTCCTTACGGGACACTGCGGCCTTAGGAGACATCTAAATCTCTTAGGGATATCTGATGACTCCTTATGTAGAATATGTGAAGAGGAAGACGAAACTCTTATTCACATACTATGCCAATGCCGGAACCGTAAATGGGAACGGGAATGGTACTTCGGGGTACAATATCCGGAACCTGAAGAAATCGCGAAAGCGCCCATCATACATATTCTTGAATTCATCAAAAAAATCAATCTGATGGGATAGAAACTGTGAGGGGTACGATAAGCCTAGAGCTTCAGTATAAGTGGGCTTTGAACCACGCCCTAATTCAGATAGATAGATGCGTTAATATGCAAGTTATGATCTAAGGAATACTCATTTATTTCATTTAGGTCCTGAATTATACATTCATGGTAATATCACATTCAAGAAAATACAAATTTTGAAAAATCTGAGTGTCATCAGCAAAAAAATGGATGGCGCAATTATTAACCTGTTTGTATAAGCCAGATGACTATATTAGAAACAAAAGTGGGCCCAAGACAGAGCTTTGAGGTACATTAGATTCAATATGGATCAAAGAAGATATTTGACCATCCACTAGCACTAACTAAGCGCGTTTTTATAAAATTAAGAGACGTATTATCAAATCCACAGTAGGAGCACTTAGCTGCCAGAAATTTGTGATTTAGCGTATCGAATGCCTTACTAAAGTCCAAAAGAATCAGGATAAATATCAGATAAATTAGCAAGGGCAGTTGAAGTGCTGAAACCTTTATGGGAACCTGACTGACGCATTGAAATTATGCCGTTTTGATAAAGGTACTCATATATTTGAAAATAATGATACCGTTCATTGATTTTACGTATAAATTTTTTTTCTGCGAAACATTAAGACCTTTGTATTGTAATATTATTCACTCTTATTTTTATTGATTTTTATAATTTCAGTGTATTTTTATTTTCCTGTCTATATACAGAAGGAAATTATAGGAATCATGATTTTTATTTTTGCACTGACTAGCATGATAAAATTTTTGTACCTCTCTTTAAATATTTTAAATTGGTAAATAAGTTTTATTTATTTATTTTATTTACTCCATAATTCCAGTTCTTAGAATCAACAAAAATCTTTTTTTAAATAAAGATGTTTTTATTTAGTGTTCCTATATCTATTAATTCATACATAATCGTACAGACTAAAATAGAAAAACATACTCGCAAATAGAAAATCAATTAAATATTATGAAGGCCTATCAAAACAAAACAACATAATGCTCGATAACTTCTTAATGATTGATTTTTGATGATACACATTTCGCAGACATACCAAACTTATTAATGCTTTACTAAAATTGCAAAGGTTACTAATTTTACAGTTATTATTTAAATTTATAAATAGAACTTAAAACTACGCTTATACTTACTTTTTCTATATCTATGAAAAACGACTTTTCGCCAACTTTAAATGTGTGTGACCAAAGTTTTGTATCTGCAAAAATAATATATATAATATTTTTAAACATCAGTTGCTATTTAGTTAACTTACCATTTTTTGGATATGCAATAGTTGTTGCAAAACAAATAAAAGCGCACCAGACTGCTAAGAAAGAATGCATTTTGATAAATGAAATTTTAATTAATTGATCAATTTATATATGTTAACAATCAATTACTTTTTTCATTATCAAGCGAAAAATCATAAGTACGTTGTTGTAACATAGAAAACAATGTACTTATAAAAGATATAATTTGCACGAGGCATGATATTTAATTTTTATAGATAATTAGGTACTTATAAACGATACATCAAATTAACTTTTCCTACGATCACTTAGGAAAGTGACACATATCACACTATATAGTCCTATGGAAAGTGCCCTATATCACACGCGTATGAATAAGAATTTACTTTCCACCCGAGTGTTTTTTAATGAATCTATTTAGCCTATCATTTAAAGATGATTCAAAAATCTTAGTTAGACAGGTTATTAAGGAAATTGGCCTATAATTGCATACCTTTTTCCGATCTCCTTTTTTATAAATTGGTATTACTATTGACTGCTTAAAGTGGGAGGGGCATATGCCCGTTTGAAAGATTTTGTTAATTAGAAATGTTAGGGGTAGTTTTATCTCATCGGCAATGTGCTTTATGGTATCAATCTTAATATTATCTGAACCTGGTGCCTTATGAGGTCTCAGTGAATTTATTATATTTTTAATTTCTATTTCGTCTACGGGTTCTAGGAAAAAGTTGTAAGGATTAAAAACGGGACGTGGATTTGATATGTTTTGTTTTACAATGCGTTTTGCGTATATCTCGCCGACATTTGCAAAATAACTGTTAAATATATTTGCCACATTTTTTTTATCTTTTTCTATACCATGTTCATCATTAGATATTTCTTCAATCTCTAATGTTTTATTGTTTTTATTGATTTGTTTGATTGTATCCCACAAACCCTTTGAATTATTTTTATGTTTACTTATTTCTTTTTGGTAATATTTTTTTTTTCGCTTCTGTTATCAGTTTCGTTAATTTATTTCTATATTTTACAAAAGTACTTTTTATTTGCATTTTATTAATATTTTGTTTATAGGCACTATATAATTCATTTTTACTTTTAATTGAATTAATAATCTCTTGAGTTATCCATACATTTCTTTTAATTTCATTTCTTTTTGGTTTTATTAACTTAGTATTTTTATTTATTAAATTTTTTAGATCACTCGTGAAAGTTTCTGTGACATATTCTACATCCACGGAGTTGTTCATATAGCTCCAATCATAAGTTTGTAATTTGGCTTTAATTTTTTTGTTATTTATTTGCGATATCATGCGTTCAGGTGGGTTTTTAACTCTTTTAGCTGGGAGAGTAATAAATATAGCTTTATGATAGTTACATTCAGATCTAGTACTGCTGATATACAATTTGTTTCGGGATCAAGGATACCTTTGACGAATATATGATCTATACAACTCTTTGTTTCACCCTGAATACGAGTACTTTTATTGATGAGAGAGATAAAGTCATTTTCACTAAGGGAGTCCAAATATTCTGATGATATTTCGTTTTCCACCTCAATGTTTATATTAATGTCCCCTGCGAGAATGTGATATTTTTCTTGGACATTTTTAGTTTCTGCTAAGTAATTTTTCAATCCTTCAATGAATACGGCTTCATTCGTCGATGGGGATCTATATACGACAATTACCAATGTGGAGTTGTTATATTCATCAATAATTTCAATTTGTAGTGCTTTAAATATGTTGATTGGAACAAATTTCCATGAGTACTTCAGCGTTTTCTTGATATATACAACTCCATCATTCCTATTTACATCTCCCTCATTGTATAATATATCATATCCGGGTAGAGTAAACAGCGAAGTTGTTGGAATTCGCAATGTTTCAGTCAGACATATACAATCTACGTTAAAAGAAATTTGGTTTAAATGTATACTTAATTCGTCTAAATTTTTACTTATACTCCTAATGTTCTGATGAAAAAGACTGAAATTAAACTTTTTTTTATTTTCATGTTGGCTCACAATTGCATTTAATTCATCGATGTCATTCATTTCTATTGTATTTATAGGAGTGTAATTTATATCTCGAATATATGGATTAATTTTTATGTACCTGGTAATATTACTTATCAAATAAAATAAGAAACAAAAAAAATAAACAAATTTTAACAAATATCTAATACAATTTTAATAGCACGACAAGCAGAAATGGGCAACTGCACCAGATTTTTAAAGTATAACCACAAAACTTAGAATATATTGAAATGATAATATAAATAAATGTGTAATTAGTTTTGTTGGGAATTTTGGCTGGCTAATCTAGTAACCCTTTTAATTGGAGCTTCAACCGTATTTGGTGCTTCTTGAATTTTTGGTTTTGTAGATGTTTTAGCTATTTCAGTAGCAAAGACATCCTCGGTGAGATTTCTTAGTCCTTCTGTCGTAAATTGTTTGTTGTTGACATAGAATTGATTCTTCTTTATGTGTGCCTCTTGGTGGTTGGGTCTTGCTAGTTTTAAATATTTGTGTAATAATTTGCGATCTTGGTAATCTTCTGGGGTGTAGTCTTTTGATATGGAAATTCCTGACGATTTTAAATATGCCTGGTTTTCTAGGATGTTTTGCAATAATTTGTAATGAATGAATTCAACAAGTAGCGGTCTCGGATTTTTTAAATTTTGGTTTGAGTTTCCTATTCTATATAAATCCCTAATGTCATGGAACTTACAATCAATATCGAGTTTGGTATTTATTAATTCAAGGATAGTATTAATATCTTCTAATTCATCGCTACCATTATTTTCTTTTATTCCATATACAATTACATTATATTTTTTTGATTTTCTTTCATTTTTCAATGTTCTTATTTTTATATTATTTAGTTCTGTTTTTAAGTAACTATTTTCGCTTTTCAAATTATCAATTTCTTTGTTATATTCTTTCTTTAAATTAAGAATTTCATTTTTTATCTGGCTATTTTGTTTTTTTATTTCTTCGTTACTAGATATCAAATTATTTAAAAGTTTGAGTAGATCAGCATTAGTAATAGTTTGTTCATTTTCATCGACCATTTGTAAATTTGTATAGAAAGATTAAGATTTATGTTTGGGCCAGTTGAACTACTATCTTGGGTTTATAAAAAGTGGTTTTGTGAACTTTCGCTTTAGAGGATTACTTATTTCTTGAATTGGCGTCAGCTGCTGGGCAATTTTGTTAATTTCGTACATAATTTCGAAATTAATTTTAGTTATATTGGTAGCCATTTCGTATTTCCATAACTTTTCCTGTGAAATTTGGAAGTATTAAAGGTTTTCGTTGTTGAACATGTCGACTATTAGTGAATTTAATTTCATTGATTGAGACTTCACATCCATCTGGGATTCATAGTATGTAACGGTTAAATCCGTTTTCGTTATTTGACCCAGACCCGTTCACGTTATTTTGAAACTAACATCTCTACACAAACGTCAATTGTCGTTTATGCCTTGTGTCAAAACTCGGTTGTCATTTTCGATTTACTTCTGTCTCGAGCAGGTTGAATTATTAATCTTTAATTATCTATTATCTATGTTCTAATTACCTTAAATTATTTTAATGGCCATCTGATTATAAAAAGATAAGTTTTCTACCGATATTTTCTTGAAAATATATATTTAGTACAAGAATTTCTTTATTAAAATGTCAAATTTGAAACATAACCTCAAAACCTCAACACATTGGATAACACTTGATAAAACGTTTTGTATGGTTTTGATATTATTTTGTTTGAAATAGATAATATGCTTTACTATATTTATATATGTTAAATAAGACTTTTTCTTTACCTATTAAATTTGGTCTCTGTGGAGCTTTTCATTTAATAATTTAAATTATGCTTTTGATAGTAAAGACATCCTATCTGTTCTCCCTAATTTCTTTATTTATATTTTTACCTATTTCCTTGTAGCCTTGCTGTATATAGATGGTCTGGAAATCTGAAAATTTTAAAGAAATCTGAAATCTGAAGTCTGAAGTCTGAAATCTGAAATCTGAAATCTGAAGTCTGAAGTCTGAAGTCTGAAGTCTGAAACCTGAATATCTGAATATCCGAAAATCTTAAAGAAGTCTGGAATTCTTAAAGAAGTCTGAAAATCTTAAAAGATATCTGAAAATCTTATGTCTTAAGAAGTCTTAAAGAAGTTTAGTTCAAAAGAAGGCCTCTACAAGTCACTCCTAATTCACTACCTCCTGTCTTTCAGATAAGTCTCAATAAATCATTTAAATTTAAATAATTAAAGTCTCTGTGAATTAGAATTTGTCGCTACCTTATTTAATTATATATCATAAAGATCATTGATTTTCTATATTTTCATCAATGATCGATTGTCAAGTTTAGAAAGTTTTAAATATAGTGGCGTCCAATATTCTCTTTCAAAGTCATATGAGTTGTTTAATAACCTGACCCACTTCCCTAAAACGTAGAGCTTAAATCACTATGAACATTACACATTACAAGTAGCGCAGGAGTTTTGATTTCCAAATATTGGTCCGTTTGACATTTTGACAGCATTTTTTGTGAGTGGGAGGGTAATATAACTATTTCGTTTGTGGTTATTTGCTGAATGACAGATTCTTAAATATTAACTTTGGTTGTGTAACAATTTTGCGGATTTTCAGATGTGTGGCCGTTGAGAAGGTGTAGGGTACAGTTGTCCTTCAGGATAAAATTTTCTTGGCAAAAGTATGTATTTTCTAGAACTGAACATTCTTCTTTTAGTTACTGCGATCCATAGAAATAATATAGAAGACCAATATAAACATAACATTTAAGCAGAAATTGAAACCTACTGTGCATAAAAACGCGTCTCTGCGCCTGACATCGCAAAATAGTGTGTCTAGAAGCTTGCGCAATATGCATGACTTGTCCCTGTAGTGTTGCCAAATATATTAAACATACCTAACAGAAAAGAATTTTAAATTAATTAATTTTTAAATTATATGATTTAAACAGTTTATATCTACGAAATATCGCCACAAAATAACTTATAAACATTTAAATAATCAACTAATAATATTTATGTGTAATTACATTCCCAAAAATATATACAAATACCGTATTAATGTCATTAATACCGTATTTTTATTGTTCAATAAGCGATTCACCTACAAATTCAATATTGACCTGGCAAAAGCTCTAAAATCCGGTGTTTCAAGGCTATATGACGCTGCCCTTACAGGACCGTTTGTAGTTTATTATTTATGCCGCGTTTGAGAATCCACATCGGATGCATCTGAGATGTAGTAAGTAGTAAATCTTTGATCACGTGATTCAGTATACCTAAATGTAATGGGACAGATGTGTCCAATGTGGATAAAAAACGCTCGAGATGTAAAAAATGCATCCGATGTGGATTCTCAAACGCGGCATTAATTACACGATGAAAGTGGCATTTTATTTTTAGTTTTGTTTAGTGTTTAGTCAAATCCTAGGTACAATAAGAGACATTTTTACATTGGCTAATGAAAATGTAATCAATGTATTAGGCAGCTGTTATATTTATTACAAGATTTATGTCTGCAAATCTAAACCTACCTAAGAATTATAATTATGTAAATAGAGATCTGTATATTTATATACAGGCTGCCCAGCGACGGGGAGACATTATCGATATCGGTTTTAAGGCATTTTAAAACATAAACCCGATCTCAACAATCTTAGGAACTCTTCTGTCACTCGATATTTTAATCGGTACTTCCTCTTCGCTTTTTGGCTGGCACAACAATTATTTACATTTCTTCATTCCTTACCGCGTTCGAACCAGTAAGGTTTAAAGAAATTTAAAAAAAAAACCTACTTTAAAAATAAAGATGTTAATGATTTTCTTATGGATCCCATCTTCAGATCTTGACTTAATGTATATAAAACTGTTTCCTTTTCTAACAAACATAATCCTAGAAATCGGGCAACGTGGTAAAGAATTATCGCTCAACATACATAAAAAAATATTTCAACGAATTGAGAATATCCTACCATTTTGAAGTATGTTAAAAAAAAATTGTTAATAAAGTGAAAAGTAGGGCATGAACATATATTATAAAGTATATAAAATGATAGATAAATCCAGTTTAGAAGGTATTATAAATAAACTGTGGAAATATCGAGAATCTCGATTTTGAATCGGAAAAATATTCTACGCAATTTAGTATAAAAGCTGATCAAAATGAAACACATGAACGACAAACTGTTATTGACAACTTTCTTCAAACGTTTTCTATTTTTCCGAAAACTAACTAGATAGTTCGAAAATCATTTCCTTCGTTAAAACGCCTCTTGTTCCAAAAAAGGTACACGCCTGCCAACATTCATCGTTCATTAAAAAAGTGGTAGATACAAAACGTTTCGTATTGTAAGGCCAAAATATATTTAGAAATCGAAATAGTTATATAAACAAAAAAATCATATGAGTGAGATAACTACCAAATTAATGATTTACAAGTTTATTCCTATTATTTATAAAATAGGTTTGCAATGTGCTGGTGTGGAATGTTATCATCGACTAAAAACTTTAAATCTATGTATTAAATTGATCGAAAACAAACTATAAATTGGTTTAGGCTATATAGAATGTTTCTAGTAAGCAGCAACTAATTTTTATTATGGAACCGAAAGACCCTTTTAAAAAGGTTCAAAATTAAAATAAAATATGTACCAAGTAAAGGTAGTAGTATTTTTTAATTTTTTAATTTATATTGAAAATGGTAACATGAAAGGTTTTCTGTCTAACGACTCATAGTCTCGGCTGACAAAATTTAAAAAAATATCGAACATAATATTCCTGGGCCCTATTTTGCATTCCCCAGATTAAATTTAGTTGTAGCAAATGATATTATCAAATAAGATGTCAAATCACAAGCAAAATCTCGTGACTACAGTACTAATGATTGCCTGTTTGGAAAAGTATCTTTGTTTGTAAATATTTATATGCATAGTTATATTTAAATGCGCGAGTGTAATGTTAAGTATAAACAAAATCCGCCCATTATGTATATACGTTTAATTACGACCCTAGTAGATAGGCAATTTGTTATTGTTTTAAGTTTTATCGTAGGGAGAGAGAAAATCAAAATTAGGATAAATGGTCCAGCTCCTTTCTGGTTACGTAGGTACCTAAAAAGTATTTTAGTTTTTGGTTAAATAATTAATTATTGTAACAGTGATTTTCTTGTGATAGTACCTAATTTAGATTGTGGATTAAAGTTTTTGTATATAATTTCGCTGTTTAATAATAAACGTAGTCAAAACCGGAGCACGTGGTTTTTCTGGAAAGTATTTTTAAAATCACAAGCAAAATCTCATGACTACTGTACTAATGATTGCCGAAAATTAACTAATTCATATTTTATGCCATATCTTTCTTAATAAGGACTGTCAGAACCATATTTACCTTAACTTGAAATTTTTTTAATCGTTTTTTGTATAGAATCATCTCTAAAAATGTATGATTGAAATATCGTGCGAACTATTTGTTCGATCAATAAAAAACTTGCCCCGGTCCTGTTCGCGCCAGCACCGTTATACGCATGAGCTCCGACACACTATTTTCTCCTTATGGTTTCATTTTTGATATATGGAATCGGCTTTCTATACTATTTCTATGCTGCGATCCCCTTTTTGTTCGTGCCAAGTAGGGATAGGTTGGCGTGAACATTTTATGATTTTGAATAATTGAATATATATGATAAAATTATAGGGGTTTTGATTTCAGGATAGGTATATGTATGGCAAAGATCAATTTCGAATAGGAAATGGATATTTGGATTCCTAAGAATTGATAGTATGATAAAATATTATCGAATATCGGAATTTCATGTTTATTATAAATTTTTTGTAGATATAGACCAGAGCATACTGGCGCATTCGTTTGCAAAATTGTTTTAATTCGTAATTTTTTTTTTAAATGTTCGAAAGGCTTTCCTGATTATAAAAGTGTAAGATGACACTCGATATCTGTTGATGTTATTGTTTAAACAACGAAAAATTGTTTGAAAAAGTTGTTTGCTATGAGAAAATAAGTAACGATAAAGGGCGGAAAATAGCACAGTTGGAGGCACCAAAGTCAAGATTTCGCTGCCTAGAATGCTCCAAATTTTACTGCTTATCATGTTTCTTTGATATTCATAAATGTCAGAAATAGTTAATAATACTTACATACTTTTATATTTTTCTGTACCTATTTGATGTAGTAATAAAGTCATTTTTTTTATAACATTTCTATTTTGTATCCTATTCACAACACCGAACTAAATGTTACAGACTCAAATTTTTTTTAGGACCGTCAGTCCCTAGATTTTGATATCCCATAGGCATCAACGCAATACGTGACCCGTACAGCGGTTCACAGAGCCTAAAGCTATTGCAAGTAGCGAAGCCCATATGTTAGGTCACATGACCCCAGTTGCCATTTAAGTTGAGAACCAAATGTCGGGTCACATGGCGATTTACTGTAATTTTAGATTAATTATCTATATGCCTTTTGTTAAACTGTTTTCTTTCAAATGTACTCCTGTTCTGTAATTGGGTTTAACCTGTTGAACAATGTATAAATAAATAAATAAATAAATAAATAAATAAATAAATAAATAAATAAATAAATAAATAAATAAATAAATAAATAAATAAATAAATAAATAAATAAATAAATAAATAAATAAATAAATAAATAAATAAATAAATAAATAAATAAATAAATAAATAAATAAATAAATAAATAAATAAATAAATAAATAAATAAATAAATAAATAAATAAATAAATAAATAAATAAATAAATAAATAAATAAATAAATAAATAAATAAATAAATAAATAAATAAATAAATAAATAAATAAATAAATAAATAAATAAATAAATAAATAAATAAATAAATAAATAAATAAATAAATAAATAAATAAATAAATAAATAAATAAATAAATAAATAAATAAATAAATAAATAAATAAATAAATAAATAAATAAATAAATAAATTAACGTGTTAAACAATCGTACTTTCAACCGGCTGTTAGTATTGTTACTATTGAATAAGGGTATATAATTATTTTTAACGATTTATTTGGAACTGAGAAAACTATATTTAATACATTAAACTGCATTCCTGCATTTACCAGGGTTGGCTTTGATTTTAATTTATTATATGTAATTGAAACATTATTTTTATTCTTTATTTTGTACTATATGTTTAAATTAGGTAATGCAAGCTACATATTAAAAAATGAAATATATTGTTGTTCTTATGTGTACTATGTATTTTTTATACGGGGTGTATCATGAAGAGAGTAATTGAAAATTGAAGCATGTGGTAAAAAATGCTTGTCATTTTTTAACAAATCTTATTTTTGGCCGAAGTTGAACATTGATATTTGACATCTGTAACCTTCATATAATATTCAGAGTTATTGATTTTAATTTTTGTTGTTTTAAACTGATATAAGATTACAGTAAAATTCACAAAACGTACTTAAATTGTGTCTTATCTCTGATCTCTAATATAAGATTAATTCCTAAATAAATGAAATTTATGTAATTTATTAAAAATCATCCTTACTCATGAAAAATGTATCATTTATAATACCTAATTGTCTATAAAAATTATATCTCATGCTTCATGCAAAATATATCTTTTATAAGTACATAATTATCTATGTCAGAACTACGTAGGTACTTATGATTTTTCGTTTGATAATTAAAAAAGTAATTGATTGTTAACCTATATAAATCGATCAATAAACAAAAATTTTATTTATCAAAATGCATTCTTTCTTTGTAGTCTGGTGCGTTTCTATTTGTTTTGCAACAACTATTGCATATCCGAAAAATGGTAAGTTAACTAAATAGGCAACTGATGTTTGAAAATATTGTATATACTATTTTATTTTTGCAGACACATTTAAAGTGGGCGAAACTAGGTATTTTATGGGTACGGCAAAAGTAAGTTTAGTTTTAATTTCTATTTATAAATTTAAATAATTACTGTAAAATTGGTAACTTTCCAGTTTTTCTAGAGCACTAATAAGTTTGCTATATCTATAAATAAATGTGTATCATCAAAAAACAGTTACCATTTAGAAGTTATCGGGCATATGTTGTTTTATATTCATGAGCATTTATATTATTGACTTTCTATTTGCGAGTATAGTTTTAGTTTTTAGCTTGTAAGATTATATGCTAATTATTAGATATAGGAACACTGAAGAAAAAGCTCTTTATTTCAAAAATTAATTTTGTTCTTTCTAATAAATGAATTTACAGACTAAATAAAATAAATAAATGAATAAAATGTATTCACCAATTCAAAATATTTGTACGTATAGGTACATAAATTTCACCAGGCTAGTCAGTGCAAGAATAAAAATCATGATACCTATACTTTCCTTCTGTGTACAGACAAGAAAATGAAAATATAAAAAATTAGAAGCAAACGTTGATTTTCTTAAGACGAACATAATACCTTATTAACGTAAAAACCAGAATGGCTCAAAATTGGATAAATTGGACGTTTTAATTTACAGTGATTGAGCGTATACACGCAGTCAAAAAGAGTCTCACTAAATTTCAACATTGGACGAAAATATATACAGTCTTATATTGCGGACGTAAAATTAAATATTATCAAAACATTTATAAAAATAAGAGTTGAAATTCATCGGAGTAGTTAACCTTTTTATTAGTGCAGGCTGGATGTATGGGTTTTGAAAACACCTTATTATTAATTATAGTAAAATAAGACTATGGAAATAGTATTAAAAATAAAGTGTTTTATAACCCATAGACCCAGCCCTCACAAATAAAAGGGTAAACAGCTCTGCTGAATTTCAGTTCTTAATTTCTATTCGTTTAGTTGTAGGAATTTTCTAAAAAAATATTTAATTTTACATCTTCTATAAATTTTCAGCCAATGTTAAAATGTGGTAAGACTCTTTTTGACTGAAGGACAGGAAATCTTTTCGGCGCCTCACGGTATGTTGTTTTTAACTATTTAAAACATCGGATAATTATTAAACGTTATTATAATTTCGCTGCTCTTGGATTGCAGAATTTCTGTAGGAAGTCATAATTCAAGGCGATATAGAGTATATTCTTCTGTTCTTTTTTAGGAATGTTGTGTATATCCAAATTATTTGAAAGTTCTGCTATTGTGCGCAGAATCTAGCCATCGGCAGTTTACACTTGTAAATATTTCTAGTACATTACAAGTTGCCTGCACATTAATACTGGGATATCTTTTCCGGTTTATATACTCAGCTCCGAATTCTTGAAGCTTTGGTATCCGGACGTGTGTACAGTCCACACCGATGGCATTTGGAAAACAATATCTCTCTAACCACAACAATTTAGCTTTCACCACAGCTTCAGTATTTTTAGGAAATTTAATAAAAATATTGTTTTTTTATTATTTTTTCCAAAACTACATCCATTACGGAAGTGAATGTCTTAGAGACAGTAAAAGCAATTGCTATACTAGAAAAATCTGATGTAACCAATACATGACTTTCCAGTTTAGTTATTACAGTTTTTCCGGTTATTTTGTACAACCTATTGTATCATGTCTGTAGATTTTTAGAGAATGAACTAAATACATACATTCTCCACATACTTTTTCTCAAATTTTTCCATTACTATCCATTTTAGAGAAATCATGTATGAAACAAAAATTATAAAAAATTATATTGCAACCAACTTTTATTCAAACAATTTTCCTAAAAATTTGAATTTTTTACTTTTTCTTAAATTTTAGGAAAATTATGTATAGGACAAAATAATAGAGAATAATATAACAGGCAATTTTTATTTAAGATAACAGATATATTCCAAAAAATAAAAAAACGACCTTCCATAAAGTATCCCCTAGATATTCCGAATATGCCCAAAATTCTATCAGCTCTCCGCAGGATGGATTAAAGCAAGTTTGGAATTTGGTGTTTTTCTCTGTATCCGTTTACGAGTTATCGAGTATACAGACACATACAGACACACAGACATCATCGCCAAAATATTCAAAACAGATTCAGGGAAACCCAAAACGTAAAAATCCGTGCGAAAATTTGAGGTCGACAAAAATCATGATTCCTATTCTTTCCTTATCTGTATACAGACAGGAAAGTAAAAATAATGAATATAAAGATGTGATTAATTACAAAAATTTTAGAAATAATTTAATAGATTTTAAATTGTATTGTATAATTAATCAAATAACAGATCTTTTAAAAACATATACAATTCGATTGAAGATGAACAAAAAAAACAAACAAGAAAAAAGTTGGAAAACTTGAAATAATAACTTACATACATTACATACAGATAAACTCCACAAAACGTATCAATTAAATAAAGATGAACAATCAAAACAAATTTTTTCTTGTAGTTCTTGGGTTTTAGGTGTTTGCTGAGGAAATGAAACTCGTGGTAAAGTAAAGCTTTCGGCCCTGCTCAGGGCCTTCTTCAGTAGTTTTTTTAATTTTTAAAAATATTTGTACATTATTGACAGTTGTTCTTTAGTACATTTTATGGGGTGTGTAATTAATTTTTAAATGTTTTAGATCCTTTTTTTATTATTCTGTAATTGAATTTTTGTCATTTTCGTGTCCGGTATTTGATGCTGTGGTATTCGTTATTAGTTATAAATATAAATATAAATAATATTTTTAAATTAAACAGTGACAATACTCCTCCCATAAAAGTAGAGCTAACCACCTATATCAGGAAAAGAGAAATTCTCCAAAACTGTACCAAGCTAAAAGGCAAAACATATACATAAACAACGATCTGTGAAAGGAAGACAGAGAAGACCAAAGAATTCTTATAAAGCACCTCAAGGCTGCAAGGGCTAACGAGTATTCTGCTTATATTAAAGGTAAAGTGCTAATAGTTAGTGGAGTAGAATACACTCTTGCTACACTCAAAGAATTTAAAGATAGCGGTGACTTTCCCATAACGAATACATGAACTATCACTAGTCAAAACGTTTCAAAATCGCCTGAGAAATCTCACACAACTTCTGTCTCAGAAAATAATAACCTAAATAATTCGTCTCAAGTCATTTCTGGAAAAAGAGGGAACTCCTCACCGGCTGATTCCACATTAAAAAAAGAAAAAATCAAACTTTATAGATCGAACTCCAGTTCCAGCTCCAAAAAGGACAATTCTAGTAGATCAACAAGAAGTAACGTAAAGAAATAATATTATCGTCCAATTCTAGCAAAAATTTATGTTCCTTCCAATTTAATTCCTATATTTTTGTAGCTATTGATTTTATTTGTAATTATTAAATAGCTGTTCAATTATGTTTAAACCATTTTCAGTTTGCCATGTTAATGCTAGATCTGTTTTGTCAAATTTTACCGAATTTAAAATGCTGTACATAATCACTTCGACATAATCACAGTATCAGAATCATGGTTTAACAATTTAATTAGGAATGAATCAGCCGGGATACAGACTTTTTAGACGAGATAGAATCAACAAGAGGGGTGAAAGGGTTGCTATGTATGCTAGGCAATGTTTTAATTGTAGATATATTTTGTACCTAGAAAAAATTGAGTCTGAAAAGCTGTGGGTTTCCATTTTTCCTTTTTCCATTTCAACAATTTATAGAGGAATTTGATGTATGTTTAAACGAAATAGCATCCAAATTTGATTACATCATTGCCGGAGGAGATTTCAATATCAATTATTTTGATCAGGAGAGTGTACCTTGTAAATTATTACAATTTCTTCCAGACTCTTAAAAACTAATTCAGGTAATTGATCAACCTACGAGAGGCGTAAAATTGCTTAATCTTATTTTGTGCTCGGATAATCTTAAAATTGGAAATATAAAAGTACGCGACTGTTCCATTTTAACAGATCACTCAATTTCTTCGTGTACTATTGAATGTCAAATTATTAAACCTGAATCATTTATGTACACATTCCGGGACTTTAAACACTTTGATGCCACTGAATTTCTCCAGGATATGCTTAAATCACCCTGGATTACTGATACTTTAAGAATTATGATGAAATTGCGGGATAAAGCCCTACAAAGATTCAACAAAACTAAAAACATCATTGGGACTATTATAAGACATTACGTAACGAGGTCAATTACGCAATTAAACGAAAAAAAAAGAGCTTATCTAAAATTCAGGTTGCAAAGTAAAAATAACATTTGGAAAGAATTAAAACATCTACACATAATTCACAATAATAAAATGTCGTCATTAAATATTCCTCGCCACTTGCAAAATCCTGACACCATAAATAATTATTTTATTAATGGAATTGAAGGTAGTGATTCCCCAGATCCAATCATCCTGGAAATTTATCGCACATCGACTATCGATTATGTTGATACATTTAATTTTAAAACTGTACAATAACTAAAAGTCTATGAAAAACTGCTTTTAATAAAATCAAATGCCAGCGGTCCAGACGAATTAAATATTACTATGCCATTCCACTGCTGTCCATTTATTCTACAGTCATAACCCATATTTTTAACTACTGTCTTAGTAACTCTATCTTTCCTTTACTGTGGAAAAAATCTAGAGTAATACCACCCCAAAAACAGATAATTATTTTATTAATGGAATTGAAGGTAGTGATTCCCCAGATCCAATCATCCTGGAAATTTATCGCACATCGACTATCGATTATGTTGATACATTTAATTTTAAAACTGTACAATAACTAAAAGTCTATGAAAAACTGCTTTTAATAAAATCAAATGCCAGCGGTCCAGACGAGTTAAATATTACTATGCCATTCCACTGCTGTCCATTTATTCTACAGTCATAACCCATATTTTTAACTACTGTCTTAGTAACTCTATCTTTCCTTTACTGTGAAAAAAATCTAGAGTAATACCACCCCAAAAACAGATAATCCGTTGGAATATAGTCAACTAAGACCTATAAGCATTCTTTGTACACTGTTCAAAGTATTAGAAA